AGATCTAACATTAGGGAAGACAATAATAACCACCATCGTATCTCTCATTCTTGTTGTGATAGTTGTCCCCATCTCTACATATGCTGAAATTGAACTCAAGAAACCAGTCCAATGTCATTCTAATCAGTGAACAATAGTATTGCTAGAATTTATATCATAATGCTACAAGATTAGCCTTGGGTTTCTTAGCGTCTCTTCCTCAGAGTATTTGTTCATTACATCTTGCATTATATAATCTGTTCCCATAAATAATTTAAAAAATTCATGTGTGAATTTCTACATATGTATCTATCCTCTCTGTATTATAGGGAAAACCAAGTTGTACCAAGACAGCAAAACAATTTCCTAGAAAAAACATGCAATGGATAAGACATATAAGACCACAATATAAATGATCTTCTATAGTTGCTATGTTTTCTCTTGTTATTTTCAATAGAATTGTCCACAACATTGGCTTATTATAGTTAAACGTAGTATTACCTATTTTTATAAAAACTTAACTTTGAAAGCATTGTAGGATTTGAGGTCTGCTAATAGTTAATACCAGTATGGATATCCTTTACATCTTGTCCTCTTCAGAGTAGTTGCCTCTACTTTTAGGGTTGATACTAACAAGCATACCAAATTCAAATAAAATCAGCCAAGGCAAACCCATGGTCTTATGAATTGGATTCAATTAAGATCAGTCATAGTAAGACAATGTAAGTAATACAGGATTTCAGTTTAAGTTAATAGGAAAGTAAGGATAGTTACCATAATATAACCTGCTATTTTTAGGTCAAGATGTCTGTGCCCTCAAATCTGACATGAGTGGACAGACCAGAACAAATTAAATTCAAACTAAATATGGCGATAAGACTACTGTGTCTTTTAAATCCTTACACACCATTAACAATGACCTCTGCCTTTTTTAAATAGTGTTTCAGAGCTGTCTGTACTAAATACTATAGCTTACCGTCTCTTACTTATATCTGCTACTCCACTTTTCTGCTATAATTTGTCCACTTTATTCCCTCATTCCACTGTCTGCCCCATTCATTGAGGCCACTCTGCTGGTGTTGCTGGAATTCTGGTATCCCTTCCTCTCTTTCTCTGTAATGTCCTTCAGCACTCTCTGTAGGGTTGGATTGGTGGCAACAAATTTCCAAAGTTCCTCCTTATCTTGGAAGCATCTTATTTCTCCATTAATTTTGAGAGAGAGTTTTGATGGGCATACGAGCTTTCATTGCATATTATTTTCTTTCAGGACTTGGAATATTTCTCCCCACTCCCTTCTTGACTTAAGAGTTTGTGTTGATAAGTCTGCTGTTATTTTGATAATTTTCCCATTGTAGGTAATCTGCATCTTTTCTCTGGCTGCTTTTAATGTTCTGTTCTTTTGGTGGATTTCTGGAATCTTGATTATTATATGTCTAGGCGTAGATCTGTTTTGGTTGTAGGTAGCTGGTGTTTTGTATGCCTCTTTTATCTGCATATCATTTCTTTTTGCTATACATGGGAATTTTTGCTTTAATATATCTGTGAATATTCTTTGTATTTCATTTTTGGTTTCTCCTGCTTCCTCATTCACATTCTTTATTCTTAAGTTATGTATCTTTTTGTCATCTTCTAGTTTTTGAATTGTTTCTTTCTGGCTCCTTGTTATTTTTAAGAGGCTTTTTCTTTCATGATCATATGCCATAAATCTCTCTTCAAGTTTCTGAAGGCTGCCTTTAGTTTCTGTCAAGGCATTTTGCCAGTGTTCAATGGTGTTTTTAGTTTCAAGGTAATTTCTTTGGATCTGTTTCATGTATTCTAAGTTATGTTTAAATTCTTCTTCAGAAGTTTCTCTCTCTTTTCTGATTTCCTCAGTTCTTCCATCTGTGTTCTCTTAGGGGGGGTTGTCATTTCTTTAATTAATCTCTTTATATCTTGCCTCACTTGGATCAGAAGTACAGCTTTAAATTCATCTATGAGGTCATGAAGGTATTTTTTAATTCCGGCTGATGCTGTGTCAAGTATTGGATGGTTACTGTGCTTGTTCTCTTCAGTGTTTACTTCTCCTGGGCTTATTTTCTAATGTTGGGCAGCTGGAGATCTTTTAAATTTTTATCTCTTGTCATGTTTCTGGTTTCTTTCAGACTGGAGTGTCCTTGGGCTCCCTGGCCCTCTCTGTATTCCTTAGAGCCTTTCAGAAGCATGCTGGCTTGAGTTTTTGCTGTCCTCCCCAATTTGCTGTTATCTGGGGTAGACTGGGATGCAGCGGCAGTACAGGCTAGCCTCCAGCCTCTGTGCCAGTCAATCCGTAAATTAGGCTGTACTTTCTGGATGTCACTGAGTTGTGACTATTTTGTATCTGCTTATTGGGCCACAAGCAGAGGCTTAGTTTAGCACCAGTAGCTCCTGCCAGTTTTCCCTGTACCAGAAGCAGCTGACTAATGTCACTATGGCACAGGTTTCTGCCCAAATCCCAGCTGTTCTCTTCCAGACCTCTCTGTGACAGGAGTGCCAGGAGAGCAGGTCTGCCCAAATCCAAGATGTCTACCACTAGTTCTCTGTATGATGCTGAAGCCAGCATGGCATCAGGCTCTGCCCAATTTCAATATGTCTTCCACCAGACCTCCCTACAGGGGACTTGGTTATGTCTCCGAGCTGTAGGTTCTGCCCAACTATAAGATGTCTTCCGCCAGACTCTCTGTGTTAATGATGTCCCCGTGGTTGCGGGCACTGCCCAGTTCCAAGATGTTCTCTGGCCAACCCCAGCAGCCACGGGGTCCCCAGTACTCACCAGGGTTCAGTGCAGGTCCTCCTCCCGGGTCCACCGCACACCACACTGCCCGCCCTCCCCGTGCTCCCAGCACAGCGAGGAACCATCAGAAAACTGCACAGCATTCGGCTTCGGAGCTCCAGGGCCTTTTACAATCTCCTCTGGTGCAGCGGGGCTATCCTGGCTGCTTCTCAGGGTCCCAGGTCTCAGTTTCCAGCAGTGACCAAAAGCCAACACAGCTTTTCCTCTTGAGTCCACGGGTCAGTTCGCTGATTTAAAGGCGCGGGATTTGCAGCCTCCCGTTATTAGCCTTCACAGCCTCAGCACGACTTTAAATCCTCCAGCTGTGCTGTCTTGGTTAATAAGAATCGTTACCCATTTGTCTGGCCCTCTCCATATTGTCATATTCTAGCTTCTAATATGATTTCTCTGGAGAGACTCTCCGCCCAATCCCCTAGAAAGCCACCATTTTCTCAGCCCCCCTCATTTATTCTCTAGTCACAGTTTCTGAGTCTGTAATTTCACTTGAAAAGAATCACGTGTATTTCAAGTAATCATAGAACAAAATATTTTGTATACATTAGAAAGAATTCACTTGTTTGTAGATTTTCATAAACTCCATAGAAAAGGAGTTTGTGGAATTTAAGAATAAATCTAAATACTTTTTTCTTCCACACTTCAATATTGTTTGGTTATTTTCACAAATGTGAGTTAGACTTTCTTTTCTATTCATTATTTCTGCTGGGTCACATAAATTTTGTTTACTTTTAGATTTGTACTCATTGATCATAACTCTATGTAAAATCTTTGTATTGTGTTCCCAATAAATGTTTTCTTGTTTAATTCCAATTTTCATAGATTTCAAATTCTTCTAATTTTCATGGCTGCTTGATTTTCTTCAGAAGAGTTTTGCACTGAGTGTTTTTCAGTATAAATTGCACAGTAATTCATGTTTCTCTTTTCCATTTCAATAATTCACCAATGCACATAGGCAACAGTAGTGTGCAGGCCAGATTTCTAGGGACATATCTGTTTCTTTCTGGATATAAATGAAACATATTGTGCTCTCTTGCCTAGGAGCACAATGCCAGCTGAATTGTGACATAATATTCTACTTCCATGTGGATGAATTGAAGTTTGTTTTCCTTTTCTGAGATCCCTTTGTCCACTGATATGAATGTTGAATGTCAAATGTTTTCCTGTTTATTATGCAAAATGTTTCCTTGCACACAAATATTCAATGTTTGTAGGGCTTTTTTTCTCTAACTTACATCTACAGTTGTTGGAACTAATCAAAGGTGCATTTGAATTCTCTTTTTGGTACTGGAAAGTATACTCAGGCCCTTGCAAATGTCACACAGGTGCTTTTATCATTGAGATATATCCTGGGTGCAAAGTTGTGATTTGTCAATGACTGTGAATTAATTTTAATTTTCATTTGGTACAGGAGTTTGATGAATGGCCTCACTTTGTATTCTGAACTGTCCTTATTACATAGCCCAGGCTGGACACTGTATGCATGGCAAACATGAAATTTCTGGTAACTCTCATACATCATGATTTCAAGTTCTGAGAGTACAAGCATATACTACTCCACTGTACTGAACTCTTCCATCAGTATTTAGTGATCAGTTACTTTTCTGTTTCTCAATTTTCACTCTATTTCAAGCATTTCATATATGTTTTTCCGCACATTATCTTCCTTTGCACCCTAGTGGAATTTCCAGTATATAAGTACAAGAAGATAATTTAGTATCCCTGAGCTATAGATTTATAACTATATTTTCCCTTATTTCCTTGTCTATAGAATGGTCAAATAAAACTTTTCTGTCATTAAATTTTAATCATTCAGAAATATCTTTTCATATTCAACTAAATATTTATCTATAAATATAGATTCAAGACCATAATGCTATTGATAAGAAAGACAAACTCAGTGTTATGAATAACCAATATTTTGTGAATGTTGGTTTGCATGCTCACTCTTTGAGCTCTGCTTTAAAGTAAGTGAAAAACTACACTATTGGTGGCCCTGCAGGATAAGCCATGCTACAGTTCTGTGATTGCTTTGGCAGTGTGTCATAGTCTAGCAACAGTGTTACTGGGTGACTATATTTGAATGTACTTAAGTTTTGATGACCATGACATGCAGTTAGTACTTGAAGGAATGAATTTCAGGTAGACTACTTATGACAGGAACTGAGATATATCAGGTCATGTGTGACTGAACTTCAGGACCCTTGTCATTATTTAGGAGACAGTGACCTTTCAGGATGTAGCTGTGAAGTTCACCCCAGCAGAGTGGGACTTGCTGACTCCATCCCAAAAGAAGCTCTACAGAAGAGTGATGTGGGAAACATATATGAATATTACTGCAACAAGTAAGGATGACATGTTTGTTTATACCAACAGCATTAATTATTGCTCATTGATACAGTTTAATATATTTGATAATAATAACATTTGCTTGAGTATCTCATCTGATTATACTATACTGTGAGTGTAAATCAAATCAGTGATATTTTAATGCACAGTTATAGTAATTGTATTTTATTTCTATGTCCATATTACAGGAAGAATATGGAATAATCAGCAAATTAAGGAAGAGGACAAAAATTGCTCAAGTAGTATAAGGTGACTGAAACACATAAGAGAAAGGGGACATTACTTAATTGTCAGTGTGTGAGCATAAACATTACAACAAAGGAATTGAAGAAATGAAATCATGTTATAGTTTATTTAACCTCAGAAAAATACCAAGAGATATACTTGATTTTATTTTGTATTATCTGGGAATCCATGGAAACATATTGAAATATAAGAATCAGAGGTAATTCTAATGCTATGTAGTAAATAACACTATCTAATGTATCAGTTCAAAAATTGCCTTCATGATCAACATCATATAAATGTATGATAATAAATTAAATATTGTATTCTGATATGTAGGAAATGAACAAATTGTGAAAGTTGATAAAAACCCATCTTCAAAATACCATTTATGTATACATGTGAATACTGAGACTTTCATGATCTAGAATTATTTTCACATAGCATCAGCATTCAAAATGAAAATGAATTCTACTGTTACAATAAGTACTCTGAAAATATCCTATAGAATATTGAGCTGTTCATGTTTAATATTCCTCATACATTGTTGATGGACACATAAAATACAAGCATGGTAATAAATATTCACTGGTCTGAAAATTAAAACAACATATTTCATATTGGTTCACATGTACATCCACAATGATATCCTTTTTTTAAATCTTTTGAGCCATGATTTTATACTGTAGTTCAGGTTGACTTTGAACTTACTGTGAAGCCCATAATGGCCTGAACCTCAGGGAAATCCTCCTGCCTCTACCTCCTGACTGTTGAGTGGGTCGTACTGTGTCATTATGTGTAATGATTCTCTCAGTATATTGTCAAATACATTAAATCATCAAATGTTAGTGATGCATGAGAGTGTGTTGTTTGTTAAAGCACATGAAAGGGCATTTACAATATCCAATACAAGAATCAACTCACAGTAGCTAAGCATTGAGAAGAGCCCAGATACCCATCACTGGATGCCAAGGTAAAGAAAATATGAAGTCAGTTCATCACGGTGGTGCATTCCTGCAATCCAAGCAGCTGGGGAAGCTGAATCGCAGGATGATAACTTGAAGTTCAGCTTGGACAAGTTGATGGTCAATAAAAATCTTTCTCAACAAAACAAATAATAGATCAGCAAATGTAGTTCATTCTATGACCTGTGTTTAACTCCATGTTGTAAAAAAAAAAGCTATAAAGGGAACCATGATACCATTTCCCAAGAAACAAGAAGTATTGGACCTTAAGTGAAGTAATTCAGACATAGAAATTAAAATATCACAGGTTTCTCTCTCTCTCTCTCTCTCTCTCTCTCTCTCGCTCTCGCTCTCGCTCTCGCTCTCGCTCTCGCTCTCGCTCTCTCTCTGTTTGGTACAGAGAAATGAACTCATAATCTTATGCTTGCCAGGCTGGTGCTTATGCTGCTGGGCTAATTCACTGGCCACAACTCAGGTTTTTTCTTAAGTGAGAAATTAAAAACTTATTTGAGAAGTGAAAGTAAAGAGGGAGAATATATGACCAGAAATCCTTATGTTCTGTTGATGAGAAAGAGGATCAGGCTAAATAGACAAAGGGGAGATTAAGACACGAAGAGCTAAAAAAAATGATCAATGTTTGCTATTCATTTGTACCAGTATCCTAAAATGATATTAAGCATTAGAATCACATAACAATTTAAATTGCCTAAATGGATTAGGGATTTTATCTCAGGGGCATAAGTGCCTGCCTTGTAAGCATGCAGTTGTGAGTTCAATCCCTGGTACAAAAAAAAAAAAAAGGTAAAAATTTTTAGAATGAATAGTATTTTGAAAGAAGTCCTGTGGGGCAGTGAGTCAGTTAACCAATCAGAATTACTTAGCAGGAATAAAACTAAATTTGTCATCATAAAAATTGTTGCTAATGTGGAGCCTTTTCCATTGTGATTGATATTTTTTTTTGTATTTCTTCACAGATGTGATGAAAGCAATTATTTGAGAATTGAAGAGCAGCAATATAAATGTAATGAAGATGTAGAGACCTGCAGTGATTTCCACTCCTTTTGGAAGCATGAAATGAGGAAGACTGTAGAGAGACCCTGTGAATATGGGCAATATGAGGAGGAGAGATCTGATATTAGTGAACAAACACACGCTGGGCAGAAAATTTTTGCAGGTAACAAAAGTGTCAAAGCCCACACATCACCTAACAGTGTTCAAACCCCCAAGACAAACCACGATTCAGGTAACTCGTATGTACAAAAACACTATGAGAATAATTCTATTTCTTCATCCAATATTGAAAAACCTGTTAGAAAATATGGTATAGAGAAAGATCATATAACTGAAAAATGTGCAAAAGCATTATCTCACAGTAATATCTTTAAAAAACATAAGAAACTTCACACTGGAAAGCAACCATATGAATGCAAGCAATGTGGGACAGCATTCAGTAAACTCAGTGGCTGTCAAAGTAATAAAAACATTCACACTGGGGAGAAATCCTTTGCATGCAACAAATGTGGGAAAGCATTCAGTACAGCCTCTGCTTGTGAAGTACATGATAGAATTCACACTGGGGAGAAACGCTTTGTATGCAAGCAATGTGGGAAATCTTTCAGTCAAAATCGTGACTTTATTACACATGAAATAATTCACACTGGGGAGAAACGCTTTGCATGCAACAAATGTGGGAAAGCATTCAATCAAAAGTCTATCCTTATTAGACATGAAAGAATTCACACAGGGGATAAACCTTATGTATGCAACAAATGTGGGAAAGCATTCAATCAAAAGTCTATCCTTATTAGACATGAAAGAATTCACACAGGTGATAAACCTTATGTATGCAACAAATGTGGGAAAGCATTCAATCAAAAGTCTATCCTTATTAGACATGAAAGAATTCACACAGGGGATAAACCTTATGTATGCAACAAATGTGGGAAAGCATTCAATCACGCATCTGCTTGTAAAGCACATGATAGAATTCACACTGGGGAAAAACCCTTTGTATGTAAGCCATGTGGGAAATCTTTCAATCAAAAGTCTAACCTTATTAAACATGAAAGAATTCACAAAGGGGATAAGCCTTATGTATGCAATAAATGTGGGAAAGCATTCAGTACATCCTCTACTTGTAAAACACATGACAGTATTCACTCTGGGGAGACACCCTTTGTATGTAAGCAATGTGGTAAATCTTTCAGTCGAAATAGTGACCTTATTAAACATGAAAGAATTCACACAGGGGATAAACCCTATGTATGCAACAAATGTGGGAAAGCATTCAGTACATCCTCTGCTTGTAAAGTACATGACAGAATTCACTCTGGGGAGAAACCCTTTGTATGTAAGCCATGTGGGAAATCTTTCAATCAAAAGTCTAACCTTATTAGACATGGAAGAATTCACACAGGTGATAAACCCTATGTATGCAACAAATGTGGGAAAGCATTCAGTACATCCTCTGCTTGTAAATCACATGATAGAACTCACATTGGGGAGAAACCCTTTGTATGTGAGCAATGGGGGAAATCTTTCTGTCAAAGCAGTCACCTTATTATTCATGAAAGAACTCACACTGGATAGAACAACAATTATGCCAAAACAGACAGTATGCAGAAGTGCTGAAAATAAACCCTTTCCATTGAAGTAAGCAACTTGTGATGTATTTTAGCTATAATAGTAGCTTTCTTGTATAGAAAATAATTCTCTCTATAAAAATTCCCTATCTATATGAGAAATGAGTAAATGGATTTGTTTATACATTCTCACTATACAAAACCAAATATCCCACACTGGGAAAAAAATCCCATGAACATAAGGAATATAGGAAGACTTTCCATACCATTGAGATTGCCACTACATTTAAGAACTACCTCGGTGTAGTAATTCTATGCATTTGAACAATGGTAGATCATATGTAGCACACAAAAATGCCATAGGGAAATTTTGCACACAAGGAAGATATCCTATATATGTAGGCAGTATGGCAAAGATTTGCTGCAGTGTTTCCCTTTGGCAAACATAAGATTCCTCTCACATTGGGGAGTAACTGTATGTAAGAAAGATTTGGTAGACGTTCAGCTGACAGCTGCTAACCTTCTGAGTGATGTCATACTATGTCCCGAGGTTATGTATGCAATGTGGGAAAGCACTCAGTATACATGGCTATTGTCAAAAGTGTGAAAGTAATCCTAGTTAAGTGAAATCATACATATTTAGGGGACTATTCTGAAAATAATTTCAAAATTAGTCATGTAGAGGAGATCTGCCAAAATATTATAAAATAATTTCTGTCAATATATATTCATACATTTTTTAAGACAACCTGAAACAGAATCATCCTAAAATATTTTTGTCTTGTTTTACAAATTACACATAAATATTTTATCTGTCTGTAGTCTTAATAAAGATATTGCACTTTTTAATGAAAATTTAAGTATGCTATATCATTTTTTCCATGTTTTGAACCGCCCATGTCTTGTTTTGATGGATGACATCAAATTATCTCATGACAATTTTTCCCATCAGAATCTGTAACTCATATCAGTTTACCAAGAAGTGTCTATACATTCATATTCAAATTATGCTTGTATTCAGCTTGTATTCATGGCCTGTATCCATGTAGCCATCCTAATGTTAAGATATACCATCACAAATGCAAAGGCAGACACATTCACTGTCAGAAACAAGAATGAAATTAAATTAGGGAGAAATCTTATCATCAAGACATTTAGAAACATGTTCAGTACACAAACATGTTATAAAAACATGATAGAACTCTCAGTAGGGAGAACACCTATATAGGTGCATAATGTGGAAAATCTTTCAATCAATATTGTAATGTTGTCCATAAAATAATTCACATGGGAGAAAACTTATATAAGTCATAACTTAAAATCTCTGCTGATAATCCACATTTTCTAGACCTAGAAGATCCCACATAGAGAAAAAACTTGAGTATGTAAGCTGTGTGGGAAATCTACCAGCCAAGCCCATACCTTGTAAATGCATTAAAGATTTCACAATGGGAAGAAACCCTATGTAGGTAAGCAACTTGGGAAAACATTCAGTTCCTTTTGTACTTGATGAACACATGAAAGAAACCACAATGGGGAGAATCTGTATGCATGTAAGCAATGCAGCAAATTTGTCCACCACCAGTGATTATAATGACATGAAAGAGTTCATATAAGGAAGTAACCCTATGCATTCCAACAATGGAAAAAAGCATTCAGTGCAAAATAATGCCACCAAATAAGGAAATAATGCAAACAGGGAAACATTTCATGTAAGTAGTTAATGTGAGAAGGATTTCTTGCAAATTTTTGCATTGTATAAATGCTAAATTTCTCACACACTGGGTTACAGTTGTGAAAAAATGTGTTGAGCAAAATTTTCCATTGACAGAGATGCTAACCTCCAAAATTATGCCTCTGTATGCTGTCTGAGAAAGCGCTCAGTATTCCTGCGTATGGTCAAATACATGAAAGTCAGCACTATGAAAACAAATTGGACATATGTAAGTGACTATTTTGAAAATACTTTGCAAATTACTCTTGTAGTCAAGATCTGTAGAAATACCAAAAAAAACATGTGAATATATTTTCATAGAATGTCCAGTGATCACAGTTGAAGATGGAGATGTCCCATTCACTTTATGCTTCAGTATCACACATAACTAGCTGAACTATTTGTAGGCTTACTATTAAAAATATAGTTTTTAAAGATAATTCAAGGATTCTGAAGAATTTCCCCCTCATTTTTGATCCACCAACATCTGCATAGAAGACACCTATTTTTTCACACTCTTTTCCAGTTGGATGTGTATAAATTATTTCATGTAAAAGGATCTTCACAAACACAGCATCAGTGTCCTTCACAACAGCTCATGAAATGCAACTATGCATGTATGCTTATGATAAGATAATCGCAAAAGAAAATTTAAAATATGTATAAATGCATTAGTGCCTGTTTTTAGTTCACAATGTAAGTGTTCATCCTTGGAAGGCATCAGTGTGTATAATAGGTGTGAGTTCATTATTGTTGCCTTAACATGCCCAATTTATGTTTTTTCTCTTTTTGATCATCTCTATTTTGAAAGAAGTATGCTCCTACTGCCTATTACACATCATGTACTTTTCTACAAATGTAAGCACCATCCTTCTAAGATTAAGGCAGTCATTTATAAATAGTAATATCCTGAGTATGCAAGTGAATCATGATTTCACATAAGTTCCTAGGGTTCAAAGAAAATGCATGGAATATGATTGCCAGAATAGTACCAGTGAGTGATTGAAATGATATTATATCATGACACCAGAAAGAAAGAATCACCAGTGTGCAATAAATAAGGTAACAACTACAAGTGCATGAATTCAATGCATGAGAGTCGTACCATTAGTTTTGTTTTGTCTCAAACAAACTTGCTATGAAGTTCAGGCTGATTTTGGGCTCACTTTGTAGGCCAGGCTTGTCATGAGCTCCCTTTGTAGTTCAGGCTAACCTTGGGCTCCATTTGTAGTCCAGGCTGATCTTGAACTTCCAGCAATCCTCTTGTGTTAGCCTTACAAGTCCTGAGATTACAAGCATACACCTTCATGCTCAGGCTGTAGCATTATATTTCTAGCAATAAATTTCATGCAGGATAATAGTACACCGTTTTTGCTGCTCTCTGTACAGTCTTTGGGGCTTGGCACTGCTAAACCCTCATAATATCCACTTAGGCACATGTTCCACAGTGGCATTTCAGCAGCATCTTATGATATTAAAATAAAACTCAGAAATAAATGTTGAGAAAGTCTAAGTCATGTTTCATTCTCAGTAGCGTAAATACATCTGATGTCACATGGAGTCATTATTTGACTTCATTTGAGATGCCATCACGTTGTTGCTTCATTTGAGAGCCATCACGTGATGTCACAACCTGACAAGAAGGTTCAGTGCAAGACAGGATGAGATATGAAGAGAAAGATAAAACATTCACAAGATTCTGATTATATTGTGGTTATTATGCTGATTTCTGTATTTAGTACTATTTAATTATTCACTTGTGTACATTTTTCAATATACTCTAAAATTGTAAACATGTATAAAATGTTATTTGTGTAAGTTTCCATGTGTGAAATATATTACTCTCCTATATTGTAATATACATTGAGGCAGTTGGCATTTCTGCACACTTGATCTTGATATAGAATATTGCTGATGAATTACTACAATGTAGTTCATATTTATATTCTCTAATTTTAATGTTTTATTATTTTTTAATAAAATGTTTCAGATATAGGAAAGTAGGTGATTTCATTTGATTTAAGCAATCTGGGAACCTGAGGCAAGTGGTTTTCAAGTTTGCAATTTTAACCCAGGCTTGGTAACTTGGAATCATAGTGAAAACATGTCTGCAAATGAAAAATAATGCTGAGGAGATAGGTCTGTATATATGTCCTGGATTCCAACATCTGTCCTGAAAAGTTGAAATAGGCGTTGTTTTCTCATAAGGCAGTAAAACGATGGGCCTCATCTCACACACTGAGTATATCCGGCCTGTTCTCACCTCCTCCCCCCCGGTTTAGGAATCATTTCCATACTACATAATCTGAATTTACTGGAGTATAGTTTCCATTCTATTTACTGCAAGTAGGGGTAAACTTGCAAAAAATACAGTTAGTCAATACCTGCTCTGTAAAGAACAGAGAAACCTCATTTTAAGTGTACTAATGCCCTTGTGGAGCACTGCAGTAGCCCATATGTAATCGAGGAATGGCACCTGTCAAATTGCTCATCAGTGTAGGTTTTGGATCACTTTATCTGTCCCTTTAATCTCAAATATTTGGTCTTTTATCCCCAGCTATTGGGTGATGCAGGAAGGCTGTGTGCATTGTCAACTGGAAAGAGGGCCAGGGAGATGAGGACAATTCATTTTACGGAGTCTTCCTTTATATTTTTGCTACCATGTTTTGGACCCATGGTCACCTGTTGACAAAAGACCCTAGAATTGGAGCCTGGTTGCTGGATGATTTCCTCAGAGAGCAGGAATCAAATACACAAGGAAACAACCTAGAGGCTAGAAATGCAAGTGTGGGATAAGGTGCTCTGAGATGGAGACAGACAGACTAGATGTTATCTGATGAAGTTGGAGTCTCCTTATAAATATGTTAAGTTTGTGACCTGATCTGTGTACTGGCTTCCACCTGATTCCTTCAGATGTGTGCCATGAGGCTTTACTGGCAGTTGAGGCCTCAGTACCCTGTCCTGTTCCAGCTGCAATATCATTTCCATGGAAAATGGCACGCATTTAGCAAATATTCTACAGTTCCATGTCTTGACACTCTTTATGGTGACTTCATTGGTGCATGTGTAGTCTACAGGCCCATCTGCTGTTTCTATATAGAAAGGTATTTTTTTCCTGAATCTTCATTCTACTTTTGACTCAGACAGTCATGATTACTCTACATTTACTGAATGTTTTGGAAGCAAAGTGTGAAGTTCATGATTTGAGTACAGAAAGAAGCATTTATAAGGTAGCAATTAAACTTCAAGTTTCCAGAACATCTGCAGATGGACATACATAATACCCATGACTGTGTTTTGAGAGAATAAGGAGGCTGTTTCCATCTCTAACATAGCCTGTGCCACAGAGTCCTTTTAACCTTGTTTAACAAACATGAATACTGACTGAGGTAGAACATGATTCAGTAAACGTAATACCAAAATTTAGAGATACATTGAATATGTTCTGTACCAGCATCTCAGTCATAGGCAAAAATAAGTAGAAAATTGAAACACAATTGTGTAGGGCATAATGGATGATGGAGCATGGCAATATCAACTCCTGGACCAAGGAAGGTCTTCCTGAGGTCAGCTTATCTCAGGGTGGAAATAAAACCTGTGTCTTCATCTGACCCAGGATGAGAGGAGATCAAATCCATAGAACTGAAGATCAATGGAAACTTAGGGAGCAATCTGTTGACATTAATCATCCAAATATATTATTTTAAATGCTGAATTCAAATAGTGGAATTTTGGCAAGAAATAACTGGCTGTAGTGAATCTGGACATATGTGTGAGTGAGTCTGTGTGTGTGTGTGTGTGTGTGTGTGTGTGTGTGTGTGTGTGTGTTTGTGTGTTCATCTAATTCTGATGGAGAAAGATTTCTTTTTCACTAGCCTGTTTCTTGTAACCAAAAACAACTGGAGTTTTTAATCTTTGCTAGATAGATACCTGAATGAAAACATTAAGGTAGTTAATAAATCTTTCCACATATATAGAATCTGAAAATAATTTTAAAATTCATGTATATTGCACAGAATAGTGGATTACATTTTGGTGTATTGCAACTTGCATATAATATACATTGATTTTTATGGGAGTCACTTAGTTATTATATTATTATTATTATTATTATTATTATTTATTTTTACAATTATGATATTCCTAATATTCGCATTCATCACAGGTAAATGGTACCTGTACATTATATATTCTGATTCTTCTTTTTGTAATTCTGTTTTGCTCTCTACAATCCCTCCTTTCCTCATTTTCAACTATTTTTTGTTTTTCCATTTTTCTCCTTCTTTCCTTTTATACTCCCCTTCACTACTTCTCCTTTGTTTTTGAACAACTGCTTACTATTTCATTATATCTATTTTACATTGGCTTTCTATTTCCACTTTCAAATCTTCACACCAGTGAGATCATGCAGTATTTACACAAGTTTTAAAAATTTATGTCACTGAAGAAGATTGTGAAAGTGCATCAGTGTACCTACTAATGCGTAAAGTATATCATTAATGGCTGGGTATTTCATCTCTGTGTAAAACATCATGCCTTCTTTATATTTTCATCTGTTGATGGACATTTTGAGGTGTTCCCAAGATTTTAGCATTACCAAATATTTTCTTATAAATATGGGTACACATACATCATTCTTGTAAAATGTATTAAATTAATTTGGGAAGATATTATGTTGGAGAACAGTTGTGACACAGGAGCCCTGTAATACTAGATATTTTAGGAATGTCTGCATTGATTTCCAGAGGTGTGGATCGGTTTACACTTCTATAAACAGTGAAGAAGAGTTTATTTCCCAAATTATTCTTAGCAATTTTTATTGTTGTTTTCTTGAATATTTCCCATTTTCTGTAGTAAGATGAAATCTGAGTTGTTTTCACTTGCATCTTTAAAAAGACAAGTATGTTTAAGTTTTCTCCATATATGAATTTGCCATTTGTACTTCATCATCTGCGCAGAGTGCATTCAACTCATGCTCATTTCAGAATTCTGAGTGAATTTTCAGTTTTGAGCCACTTAAATTGATGTTTGCTGTTGGTGTCACAGTTGGATTATCAGATTAAGATTGAAAACTATCTTTAAATTTTGTAAGAAAATTATTATAAATGTGTATTCTTTGTGAAATAATTTTTGTGCATCTTTTGAGATGAATGTGTGATCTTTTTCTAACTTTCCATTGATATATATTACATAAAATATACTGTGATTATTTTGATTCTGCTATTGCCCCTCATTTACACTCTCTTCTTCGCTGGTGTTCATTTCCATCTCCAATTGTCTTTTTGCTGAACTTGGTCTTAGAAGAACTTCACATGCAATACACCCAGACGGATGGAGGTTCACTGAGTCTTTTCACAGAAGGAGAATTTTGAGAATATAAAAAAAGAAGGTACAGAAAGTGTTAATCAGAGTAATTTTATTTACATATTGAAGAGTTGATGGTGGATCATCAAGAGTGTGAGCTGCACTGTAGTTAGGATCTGGAGAACATTATGTGTTTTAGGTAATGTGAATCTGAAATTTGACTGTTTACAGTCTTCTTCATTTGGGTAGGTGAGTAGAATTGCCCATGTATAGTATCATAATGAAGGATTCAATGAATAAAACCTATTCCATATGTAAGCAGTGATCTCTCTACACATGAAAAGTACGTTTGCTGCTAAGAAATGGAACGCTAAACAATTGTCTATGTAAATGGGTATTTTCCCTGTTTATGCTGTTCTGTGAATAGAAAAAAAACATTAAAATGGGATCGTGTTTTGAAAGTATAATTTTAATTTACAAAAGAATAATTTTGCTTGTCTC